GGGCTGTGGCGCAACAGTGAAACTGGCAAGGGGGCCATTGCAGCTCCCTGGAGTTGAGCGGGTGCAGACGAGGCCACGCGGCTTACTTAACTATGAGAAAACAACAACAGTGCTCAAAGCCTGCGAATAACAAGGCCAGTAAGAGCCCAATCAAATGGTACATTTCCTCTTAAAACACTCAGAGAGAGAGACAGCGAAAAATGTGTAGAGAGAGATTGTCATTCAAGGAAGAAAAAATAAAAGGCCTGGTAGATGGCTGTGTTTTTTCATCCCCTGTAGAAGTGGCAGTGAGTGATACTCTTGACTCATCAGCAACAAAAACAACTCATTTCAAGGGTGGTGGAGATGGAGCAGGAGATTTGAGGAAGCTGAAGGACAGGAGGGGGAACTTTGGCTCTTTTCTTTTTCCCTCCTCTGAATCAGCAGAGAGAGAAAGAGGAGGGAGAGGAGACTGGTAGGAAGAGGAGTCATCTCAAGGCTACGAACACACAAACACAAAGCGCATCACAAGTGTGTTGATGTGCAAAAATGAGTTGATTTGGGTTCTAGGCAGAACCCTGTCTCCGGGCTTTCATAAGCTCATATGACTCAGTCGGCATGAGAGGAAGCCAGAGAGAGAGGAACTATAAACAGAAGCAGACTGAGTGTGTAGGTGCAGGAAGGTGAAAGACACCACAGCTTTTAGCCACCGAAAAATTACATTCAATTTAAAAAAATGATCTCAATAGCATGTCATCATTTGGAATTTGTGTCACCACGCCCGCCTCTCCGACTGTCTCCAGTAAAGCTGTCACACTCATCTGGGGAAGTTTTTATGAAAGAGGGACTCACACAAAAATAAATAATGAGGCAAATTTCGCAAATATATCTACAGAAATGTGTCAAAGTCAAACTGAGAAGAAATATGGCTGCCGTCAGCTATAACCAGTTTCATAAACATAGGAAAACATTCATACTGAACGTATCGGAGCATACTCGCACACATGGCTGGATCAGCAGCAGCACTTACAGTCCAGTTGCTACGACTAAATGTTGGCATTGTACATTTCTGCAAACCACATACACGTACACGTACATTTTATACATATCGAATCAGTGCCTCTGAAGTGACGTTGTACATAAGTTGAGAGGAGGCGGTAGTGGATGGCAAGTCACCTAGGTGATATGCCTGCCAAGCTGTAGACCACTGTTCAAGACCAACAAACGACAAAACTGGCTGTTAGATATTACTGCATTTCCAGCCAGGATAACGCCACAGAAAGCAGTTGTTTTTCACCAAGAAATTGCTGCGTTTTCTGCCGGGATAGTGCCATGAAAAAGCGGTTGGATCTTACCAAGACATCCACACACTTCCTGCCAAAGTAGTGTCACGGAAGGCGATTGTTTTTTACCAAGACCTTGCTGTGTTCCCTGCCAATATAGTGCCACAAAAAGCATTTTTGTTTGATCTTAAATGATCTTTTCCTAACCATAGCCATGTGGATTTTGTATAACCACACTTGACTTATCAAGGTTCAATGTATCTGCTACATAACGTGCACATGAACATATGCCCATAATATATAATGTACAGAACACACAAATGTTCTGTACACATTGCCAACATTTTTTTCTGGCAGTTGCGTCGTAATAATTAGGTCTAACCCAATGCCATTATTTTTCAACATTCAAAGGTTCTGTTGAGGTTTCTGAATGAAGCTTCCAGTGTCCGTCACCACATTTTATGATGTCATCCCCCACCCAACCAAAAATAGTTAAAATCCTCAATTTGAATAAAGTGATAAAGTGGCTGATGTCGTATGCTGTAAAGCCCTGTGAGGCAAATTGTGATTTGTGATATTGGGCTTATAAATAAAATTGATTGACTGACTGATTGAAATGATGAGTTTGTTTTGTTAATCAAATTCAATGAACTTTCTTTAATAAATACATGTAATTAACGGCGCTGTTGGATCGCTGCTAGACCGCCTCGTTTATCCCAGTCGGGTCAGTAAAACCTGCATCAGTGGATCTGCTGCTAGCATAACCTGGCTTGCTTTTAGCATGGGAGCTAACTAGCCAGGCACGTTGAAGGCACAACCTAATCCACTCTGCCTCTGATTGGCCTAACCAAAATGACTGCTTTTGCCTAAACTAGACATGCACCGATTACAATTTTTTGGGCCAATACCGATTTCCGATTTGCAGAGTGTTTGGACGGCTGATTCAGATTTCATTTTTTTCAAACCACTTCACAGCACACAAGATATTACAGTATTTTCTATCTTTCCTTTATCATAACATTTTAACAGGAAAAAAACAACATAAAATTCACACAGGGCTTTACATCTACAAAATTCAGTGTTATGGACATTTTATTTTAACAACGAGAAGAAAGGTGCACATTTGAAAAGGCTGCCGCTCCCGGGAGAATGTTCCTATCAGTAAGCGCGTGGACGCGGACACGTGTATCTTCGCACCGTGCGGCAGCGAGAGCTCTGCTCCATTCAGTTTAACACGGACAGTTAACAACTTTCTCCTTCTTCTCTCTTTTGATGTGTGTGCGTGACTGGTTAAGGTGAGAAGCTGCCCATGTTCACAGATTGTATATGCATATTTTTAAGAATTGAGTGCAAAGCTATTTTTCCTTTTGTTTATTTCAGAACCACACACACACACACACACACACACACTACACTTGTGAACTTCCTGCATTGAAAATTAAAGTATCCTCTCGAACCTGATTCTCTGGCCAGAATCATTTACTCCATAGTTATCCTACCCACACCAGTGTGTCCCTGAGGTCCCCTTCCTCACATCGCTAAAGGCTGAGCTGCACTTGTACGTGTGTGTGCGCTGCTGATATTACATGATGTCAGTAATGCTGCACAGTGGGAATATGACCGGCATTTTAAATCGGCATATTTTAGACTGACCAGCCGGTCACAGGTCATGGCCGATCACGTGAACACCATGAACTCTCAAATTTGCAACGGGGACGGCAGGTAGTATCGCAGCTGTTTCGCGTTATCACCACAAACCTACAGGAAACCATGGCCTTCTAACCTGCTTAGCAAGGCTGATCCATCACAGGAGGCCCTGTGCCAGTAAGTCTCATTCCCAGTCGGACCTCTTCTCTGTAAAGCTGTAAGTCTACTATACGCCGAAAAAAAGAGTTGTGCAGAATTTGAATGTAAACATTATGAATGAAGCTATTAAGACTACTTGCTACAGCCCTAATAACAACCAACGAGCTTCGCTGGTGCAAACACCATCAAAGTCAATTAACAGAACAATCAATCAATCACGCCCAAAGATCCTTCATTCCATTTTTTTGGCACACGAGTGTTTACTTGCTTTATTCGCTTCATCCCGACTGATTCATATTTGGTTTCGTGTTTGAAACTTCTCTTGAAATTTGCTTTGCAGTTGGATGGAAGCGCCGCGTCGCCCTCTCTTTCTCTCTTTTCTCTCTCTTTACTTTCCTCCCACTCTCCATGTCTCATCAGGAGTGTCATCAGCCCCCACTCCGGTTGATGCCTGTTAATATGGCAGCGCTATTGTCTGCCCGCTCATTGCTGCTGTCTCTATTGTTTGCTCTCACACTTGACGAATTCATCAAAGGAAAAAGAAAAGGAATGGGAGAAAATAGCTGCAAATCATGCGGCTTCGCACAATTGACTGTGCAAGTCTGGCGGGGCGAGTCTTTGTCTTCAAATGGTGCACGAAATGTGTGTTTGCTTGTGTAATTCTGCACATATATCATTTGTTCTGCCATTAACTAGGTGGGACGGCCCACTCAGACACTGACTGCTGATGTGTCTGTGCACAGGTGCAGATACAGTACGTGTCTCTGGGTTCAAGGAAGAGTCGCACGTCTGTGTGTCACTTTATATGTCACTGTATGAGGATCTGATTGTGTATCCATTCATATGAAATGAAAGGAAGGAAATAAAGGAAAGAAAAAAGAGACAAGAAGGAATACAAGTAGTAAAAGAAAGTGTGAAAGAAGAGAATAGAAAAGACAAAAAGGGAAGTAGAAGATAAGGAAAAGTGAAAGCAGAACAGAAAGAGAAAGGGAAAGGTAAGGAATGAAAGGAAGGAGAGTAAAGGGCTAAAAGAAATAAGGAGGGATGAAGGAAAAAAGAACTACAGGATGAAGAAGAGAAAAGTAATGGAGGCAATGAGGGAGAAAAGGGAAGGAAGGAAGGAAAAACAGAAGGAAGATGTAAAGAACTAAGGAAAACACCAAAGGAAAAAGGAAAGATGGATTAAGTAAGAAAAGAACTGTCTAGAGAAGAGGAAAAAGAAGAAATGGAGGCAAAGAGGAAGAAAAGAAGAAAGACTGAAAGAAAGGGAAGGGAGAATAGGGAAGGAGGGAAAGAAAGAATGAAGGACAGAAAGGAAAAGGAGAAAAGAAAAGACTAAAAAAAGTAAAATAATTAAAGAATAAAGAAAGACTGGAGGAAAAAGAAAAATTAAAGATCAAAAAAAGGGATGGGGAAGGACAAAAGGAGAAAGAAAGAGGGAAAGAAATAAGGAAACAATGAAGAAAAAAGGAAGGAAAGATGGACAAAGGTAGGACAGAATTGTGAAGTGAAGAGGAGAAACAGTAAAATGGAGGCAACAAGGAAGAAGAAGAAGAAGAAAGACTGAAAGACACAGGGAAGGTAGAAAGGAGGAGGGAAAGAGGAAAGTAAAAGAAAGGACAACAGAACGGAGGGTCAAAAGAAAAGTAATGGGGAAAAGGAGGAAGGAAAGAAGACAAACTGATAGAAATAAGGAAAAGATCAAGGAAAAAGGAAGGAAAGATGGACGAAGTAAAAAGGAATTCTCTCTCTCTCTCTTCTGGGGGACTGGGGGAAAAAAGACATTTGGGAAGGAGAGAAGGAATTAAGGACATAAATGGAGGAAAGTACAGTAAGAGGGGAAAGGAAGAAGAAAATAAAAAAAGAGGGGAGCGAAAGAATAGGAACAGGAAGGAAGTCCATGTGTGAGTGCGTCCTGCGCCATCATCGTACCTTTGCTCTGTGGAGGGTTCTGGCTGCGGTCTCGGAGTATGTTGATCTGGTAGACGGCTCCGTACGGCTCAAACAGCTCCTTCAGCTCCTTCTCTGACCAGGAGCGCGGGATCTGGCCCACAAACATCTTGATGGCGTCCGGGTCTGGCTGGTCCGAATGCTCCAGCGCCCCGTTCATCTTCCCGGCCGTGCCGTTACTGTGTAAGAGACAGGAGATACGACGTTAGGAGCTGAGACATAAACTCCATATTCAGACCAGTGACACATAAAGACTCGTGGTCTGAGTACTCAAAATATACCATATATGTCCCGCTGCACGATATTGGGTTGTCAAGCAAGATCACTTTGCATTACAAGCAAACAAATGGTTAGCTAACGTTAAGTCAACAGGCGACGTAGTGGCGTAGGGACGCTGTTAGCTGTTAGCCGATAGCGGTGTCTGTAATAACTCACTAAACTCACAAAGTGGTCCGTGAAAAAAAAAAATTTCCAGCGGACGTCTTAGTTACAACATGATTGAGCTAACTGGAGTAGTTTCATGTCGTATCTGACAACGGGAGGCTTTTAACAGATGACGTCCTGATGTTAGCTTTGCTGCTGCTGTTAGCTGTCCCTGTCAGCTGATGCTTTCTAGACATCGTGATTTCCCAAAACTGAATAAATACCACACATAGCAACACAAAACTGCTTTGCTAGCTCAATCATGTTGTAACTAAGATATCCGCTGGAAAAAAATATGTTTTTCACGGACCGGTTATTGAGTTTGTGTACATGGCGGTGGAAGCTATGAACGAGCTAACCCTCGTCTGCTGAGTTTTAAAAATGCCGGCTATTTTGTTGCTTTCTGTTGACGTCACATCCCTCCTTGAGTATATCCAATCAGCACCAAGTAATCCCCAAGCCCCAGCCAGGAGTCTCTCGGGGCCGTTCTGAGTACCTACTCCGAGGCAGGGACTTGTTTAGCCCCTGTAAAAGTTCTGGAACTCTGTCCTTCGGGGGTGGTTCCTGCGGTGGAGACACGCACCAACGGCCCCGGCCCCGTAAAATTACCCCGAAGTTCCTGCGGTGGAAACGGGCCTAATAAATGCCTGCTGGCATTGGGAGCAGCTTTGGTACATTTCACTCTCATTTAGTTAGGTTTAGGCACCAATACTGCGTGGTTAGCTTAGGAAAAAAACATCATGGCTTGGCTTAAAATAATTAAAATTAAAAAAATTAAAATAATTTTGTGTCTTCTCCCGTCCCACAGGAGAAAACACGTCATTTTATAAGCTATTAATAAAGAGATTCATGGGGTTGTTTGTTTCATTTCCTGCATGTGTTTTGACACACTGGTCAGGAATAGCTCTCCTATTTTGTTGTTTTCATTTAGTTTTTAATGAAATAAAAGCTGTTTCATATTCTTACTTTTATATTATCACGCAGTGATTGAGGTTAAGCTCTCTTTTCTAAGAGAGACCTGAATAAGAAACATTAATGAGATAAAGATAAAGCCTGTGCTCAATGACACCGGCATCATCACGCCTCTTTATGTAATTAACAAATAGCAACGAGAGTAGGCTGTGAGTGGCTCAAATAACACTATTAAATAACATAAAATAAACAAAGTTAATGAATGAAACGAATTAATTTAACAAATGAATCACTTGGCCGTAATATTGCAGTGGAGGAAGAAAATGTTGCTGACCGACTGCGGTCCCAGTCCCGTGCGTCCCGGCGGGACCCAATCCCAATGCAGCCCTCTAGACCCAAACCCTGGTCCCATGGGTGAAAGTCCTGTGTTTGTTTGACCCATCCAACACCTCACCCACCCTCTATACGTGAACCTTCTTGCTCTTTACGCTAATGATACAACACCTGAGTTCCTGCGTTGCCGCATAACAATCAACACAAGCAATTAATGGGCTGATAACAGCTTTCGGAACCTACTAGTTGGGGCAGCAGGAGGCTTCTGACCCATATCTATGAAGCTGATGATCACTTATGATGCTGATGACATTATAAGTGAAGCTTAGAACAAAGCTTTGGTCTTTGGCTTGACAATGTATTTTGTAATAGATTTGAGGTGCTTGAAAGATCTTTGAAGGCAAGAAAATTTTCTCAACCCATAAAGAAACACTGAAACCTTCAGTTAATCTGATGAATGTAAAATGACCAATAGGACAAGAAGGGTCATCACCTCAGAAACCAATATTCACAAGACAGACAGAAGCACATGCAAACATTCATAAACCTCACAAAAGTCTCAGAATTTAACACAGAATTTAATTCAGAATTGCAGACAGTGATGCAATTCTAACCAAATACACATGAGCCCGATATCTCATTGAAAATACAAGTAAAAAAAGTACAACAACTCCCTCAAGAACTTCATTTTCAACACAGCGGCCTCTGAAACAGCCCTCTGGCCGTCACACGGACACTGAAACTCAGCGAGAGCCACACTAATAAAAGAAATCTCTCCTTACAGCAGAGTGAGGCAGCTTTCAGTACGGGCTTTACAGACTGATATCCCTGAAGCTGGCAATTTTCCTATGTAGTGACACGACACATCAGGAGAGTGACATATCACGCTGACCCTAAAAGTGTATTTCTGATGGTAAAGATGCGGTGACGGATCTGTTCAGGATGCCAGTAAATCCACACTGTGGGACTGAACACAGATTTGACTCCTGGCATTTCACAGCAACACAGAGTACATGTAGAGGTTTTTTTCACTGCACTTGTTGAGATGCTGTTGTATGGGGGAGAGCAGAGACACTATATGATTGTATGTGGGCCTGCTGTCCGCTGCGCTGCATGTGCGAATGTTTGTGCATGAATGAGTGCTGGATAAGCAGCGTGCAGCGTGTTAATGTCGAGGTTGTGTGTGAGGGATTAGGCTGCAAAACCAGTACAACAAACCTCCGGGCCCTCTAACAGGACACAGATGCTTACACGCCAATCGCTCTGGCTATATTTCCACATCTGGAATGCATATGGAATAGAGGTGAAGCGCTTTCACCCCTTCTCACCGCAGAGCTTCAACACTTATCTTCACAGAACACACACGTCCGTCCACGCGTCAGGAATGCTAACTCCAGCTACGGCGTCTCTTTCTTCTTGAATAAAGGCGAGTGAACGCTGTCAGTGGCGAGGCCCAGCGGAGATGAGGACGGCACGTGTGAGGCAAGGCGTGACTGTGTTTTGAGGACAACCAAATGGCTACAAACACACACAGACTCACACACACACACACATCACCGCCATCAAGGCCTGTGGTCTATTTAAGATGGCTGAAAACCAATCCAATGAAAGCAAAGTCAATGGCTGTGCTGTTTTATTGCTCTACTTTCCCTTTTGTTATTCTCGGCAGGAGAGAGAAAGAGCATTATCTTAAGAGGCAAAAACAAAACAAAGCCAAATCCCGAGCTTGGTTAGCTGACAACACTAATACCACCCTATAAAGCTCAGCAAGAGAGAAAGAACGGGGGAAGGAAGGAGGGGGAAAGAGAGATATGGAGAAAGGCTGGGGAGGGAGGGGAAAAAACATCCAGACCTTTGAACGCGAGCCATCCATCTTTTGCAGAAAGAGCCAAGGCGCTCGGCAGAAACGCCCAATTCTTTAAAGGACTTAAAGGACATGTCAAATAAAACGCCAGAACCGGAGAAGGAGTCAACGAGCCAAACCGGTGCTAACAGTCCTCGAGGGCAACAACAGCTCCTCACAAAGCTGTCCGATAAATCGCGGGGGCCCCGGCGCCGAGGGAGCCTGGAGGGTGGCGGTGGCGGCTGATGGTGGGGGGGAGAGGGAAGGAAGGAAGGGAGGGAAGGGTAGCAGCGCTGGCGAGGAGTAACTGTCCCTATCGCCAGCTGATGTTTAGGCACATAAACGACTGTATCGGACGAGCCTGGGCGGTCGCTGGGTTCAGACTGCAGCACATCATCCCTTCGCCCTCTGACACGCAGAGCTGATGTGTGTGAGCGCAGAAAGAATAGCTGAAGACAATCCCTCATTGTTGGCTGTTTGTGTGAGGCCTGTGGGGATTGGATGAGGCCACGGGGGGAGACGATACAATAGCCAGTGTCAGAGGAGCGCCTCCCTCAACCGGGACACTGTCCACCCTGTGCTCCCTCGGCCATTCACTCCAGCCTGCTAAGACAATGAAAAGGTTCACAGTCGCAGCCATACGGCGTCCGAACGCACAACTGTCTTGTGTAGATTGCGCGCCCCGTCTCCTCCCGAGGTGCTCGGGAAGTCGGTGACTCTCCTCACTACAAAGGAATGAGCGCCTCTTCCATCGCCCCTGTGGCCAAGACTGACAAGGTGTTATTGCGAGCAGACAGAGCTTTAGCGCGTGTGTGTAGATGTTTGTGCGAGTGTGTGAAGCTCAGCAGGAGAGTGTCCTGGGGCTCGGATTAAGTCGTTGAGTGGATCCACTCCTGCCATAGCCTCTCCATCTCCCTCTTCTTCCTCTTCTTTTCTCCCTCTCCCTCTCAATTTGAGCCAATTGTTTGCCTTAATGGCTTAACTATTGCTTCCATCACTCCGGTCTCCCTGCAGCACAGGGCCGTGACTGAGGGCTGATCTACACACAGCGTGTGTATATGTGTGTGCTCAGGCAGACTGCAAAAAAAAAAAAAAAAAAAAAAAAGGTGTCTGTATAGGTCTTTGAAGCAGCTGCTGAGGGCTGTTATTCCCTCACCTCACACTCACATTAGACAGCAGGCTCGTTCATCCAAACTACAGCTGCACGATATTGACCATAAAACCTTACGACGGTTATTTCGTTCTTCATCCATCATCTTCATTTTACGTTCGCAGCTCTTCACACCTCCTCTCTATTAAAGCAATGGGACCACATTTTGGCAAACGCACTAATTGGCTTTCTTTTGGACAGAGAGATGAAAAGCTTAATATCGATCCAGTGTCTGTCAGGATGTGGTTAGCCTAGCTTAGCGTAAAGACTGGAGTCAGGGGGGAAACACATTGAAAGTCTCTGTCCTTCCAAAGCTGCCTTATTTACATGATCTATCTTGTTTGTTTGACTCGTACTTGCACCGACATGGAAAAGAACAGTTTGTGGTTTTAAATGTTGAAGTGTTGGAGCTATTTCTTGACAGACAACAGTTTATCCACATGCCTGACGACCTCCACATTCTTCCAGAAGCTGCGTCTTCCAGATTCTGCTTTTTAACCTTAGTGCATGCATTGTAG